AGAGCCAGCAGAAGTGCTATATAGACAATGTTAAAATGACTTCTTCAGGAAGTCAGAAATTCAAATAACAAAAGGAAAGGAAAACTACTGGATAAGTAATAAGTGAAAGCAAGACCAAATGGTTAATGTTGTTTTTGTTTATTTATTTCTTAGAACCATAACACTAACAGTTTGTCAAGTGAAGCCAGATGCAAATTTAAAAAGTCACCAAGTGCACCGCCACAAGGACAGATGGGAGTGTGTACTATATGGTCTTGTACTACACATGGAACTGTGTAGCACTATTTTCAACAGAGCTTTGGTTACTTCAAAAGATTAATTGTCATTCCTAAGGTAAATAATAGTTTTGATCAAGATGTCAGTAGGCTGTGTAGGACAACTTGCACGCTTGTAGATCCAGGACCGGGGACACTGAGACAGGGACACTAAGAGTCTGTGGCCATCCTGGGCTTCATAGTGACACCCTGTCACAAAAACAATGCAAAATTACCAGAGTTCAGTAGATGGATGCCTTAGCCACTTTTCCTGTTGCTGTGATAAAAATATCTTAACAAAAGCAACTAATGAGATAAGGGGGAAATAGTTTATTCCCACGCACAGCTCAAGGGCCCATCACGGTGGGAAATCAGGGTGGCAGAAGCACAAGAACACTGGTCAGGTCACCTCCACAATCCCACAATCGGGAAGTAAAGGCTGCTCAGCTCCGCTCCTCTGCTTACTCAGTCCAAGACCCCAGCCATGGAACGGTACTACAACACACCTGGCTATGTGGTTCTCGGGCCATTGGAACCTGTTTGTGCCTGGAATTTGGAAGTGCTTAGAACTTAGGAAAGTGATAGTATCATCCATTGCTTCCTGCTTCTGACTGTGGATATAATGTGAGAAGCAGCTCCATATGCCTGCCACCTTAACTTCCCCACCAAGATGAACTGTACCCTGGAACTGCGAGTCACAATACACCTTTTCTCATTAAGTTTTTTGTCAGGGTACCTTATCACAGCAACAGAAAAGGAACGAAGAGGGCGCACTAAGGAGAAAAACCCAACTCTTATAGCTCAACAGCTCTTTCTGAAGTGGCATTTCCTCCAGAAACTTCCCAATCAAATCAATACATCATCTTGGCATATGTCAAGATGGTACACCCTTAACTTCTTCAGGTGGCACCCCATATGAATCCTATCCCTTAAAAGCTGGTCCAAGGTTCTGCACCACCTCCAGCCAAAGTATTGAGGAGGCTGATGGGCTAATTTCCTGTGGATTTTTTTTCTGATATCAGAGAGGTAAACTGAGATCAGACCTATGATAATGAAGTACCAAGTTCTGCAGTTAGGAAATGCTTAGCAGGCGAGTTCTTGGAATAACTCACTAGAAATTGTGAGAGCCAGCACTGTAGCTGAGAAATGAAAGAAGGAATGAAGGCATTGGTTATATCTGCAGGCCCCTCTGACTGGAGATGCAGATGGACAAAACACGGATCTGCCTTGATGAGTTAGAGCTGAGACCATTCCCACAGTCTTAGGTGTCAAGCTTTTGTAATCACTAATAAATCTCCATGTCATCATTTGTGGGCTGGCGGTCCACGTGACAAATTACTACTACAATCTGTAACTCTGGGGAAGCAGAGAGATAGCTGCCACAACCAAGTGCTCAGTTCTGGGTTCAGTGAGAGGCTGAAACCTCACTGCATCAAGAAACAAAGTGGAAAGCAGTGGTGGGGGACCCCTGATACCTACCCGTAACCTCCATACTCGGGCACACACATGCACATTCACCCACACGCACAGGCAAACAAATATGCACATATACTATACATATATACACATACGAAAAAGAAAACAAGCTTTTAAAAGTTTACAGGCCTGTGAGTTTTAGGAGCCTCTGCATGCTACTCACTCATTGTTAAGCAAGAGTGAATGGCTGACCTGTTGGACACAAACTTTTTCCTGTTTCATCTCTGCTCTCTGGTCACAATTCTTGCTTTTTTATCAGTTTCTGTCATTTGTCCATTCAGGTTTTCATGGCTCTAAGTTCTCATTACCCAAAACCCAAGCCCACATACACAAAAAAAGTCGATGCAACTTGTTGTCAGGCCTGGTTGTTATCCGACTTTCTCTGTCCATACAGACCATTATCAGTTTTGCCTCTTATGAATTGCTGAATCTGAGCCTCACATAGTATTTGTCTCAAGTTTGAGAACAGAATAGAATGTTAGTCTTAGGGAACAGCAATCCCACACTTAGGATATAACACAGAGGACAGAGAATAAAGAAGCCACATTCCCATCTGGGTGATAATCTGGAGCCAGATACCCAGAGGTTCAGGGTAAAGAAAATTGTCTGTTGAGCATCTTCATATGAATGGCTGAACAAAAGACAGTGGAGCGATTTCACTTCTCTTTGAGGAAATGACATGATGGGAGTCAGGGCTCCCAGGCATGTGAAGAAATAACAACAGATCCCTCTCAAAAAGAATTGCAGTACTGTATTTACTTCATCTACCAGGCACTTGAAATCTAAGGTGGGCAAGAAAGATGGTATTCAAAAGCAGATAGCAGCCACACCATCATTGGCTATTGATAAAGCCTAACTCAACCATTTTACAAGAAAAAAAAATTTTTTGCCTGGAAAAAAAAAAGTTCTCTTGTTTTCCAGAGCATAATATGTAAGACACATTTTAATTTTAACTTCCCCTCAGTGGCAGTGACCCTTCCTGCCCTCTCCATTTTATAAATTATTGACAGAGCATCGGGAAGACTCCGTTGCTCGGCACTAATTGGGCCCTCTGGTCATTTCTCAACAGCCTGAGAAACCGGATGGTTTGGATGAAGCCTCTGCTGAGGTGCAGGCCCCAACACTGAGAGTTTGAACAAGTTGGTCTTTCCTATTTGTTTTTAAGTGCAAATGTTCCAAGACTGGGACTTGGCAAAGAATGATGGGGTTGAGATATTTGCTTGCTAAGGAAAAATTGAGACTCAGAGTTGGCATTTCATATGGAATTCCATTTGAAATGTATATATTGGAGTAAATATAGACATTAGCTAATTTTTAGATGAGGGGAAAATGAAAGTTATATATACAAAATTAAGCTATTATGAGGAAACTTTTAAAAGTGGGAATATTGAACTAAAATATCACCATTATCGGGCAGTATCTTGTTACAGATGTTGTAGATTTAAACTGGCATCAGACGTGGGACATTTGAGAACCCTTCCTTCTGTCTGTACAGTGAAAAAAACAGCTGTTTGCTCTGAACTGATGGTCTATAAAACGACAGCCCTGTGGCTTGTTTCTGGTCGGCTAATGGAACACTTGGCAGTCCCTTTTGGAGTTCTGTGTTGGCGGAGGGGTGTGATGTCAGAAGCCACTCTATAGACTTGCTTCTGTCTGTGCACTTTACTGTGACCCCCCAGGCATTTGTCACAGGGGACTTCTTGAGACTAAGACACTGGTTCTTCTCACACAATGAAGGCAAATCCAAGCAGGTGGACACTGTACACCACACACTTGAATCAATCTGATAACCACAAACTCTTGAAGTATACATAGACATTTTTCTACTCGGGCTGATAAATACACAATTAGATAAAACAGGGATTCCATTACTTTCCACGCCAAGTTTCTTTCAATTTGTGATGTTCTTAGTGAAATATGGCTTTAGGTGTGTGTGTGTGTGTGTGTGTGTGTGTGTGTGTGTGTGTGTGTGTGTGTAAAGGTAAATAGATGAAAGCATTTTCTTCCTGTTATCTCTACAAATTTTCCTTTTAACAACACCATTAGGGGCTGGGGAGACGGCTCAATGGGTAAGAGCATTTGCTGAATAAGCGTGAAAACCGATTCCCTGCATCAGCATAAACAACGAGGCATGGTGCATATGCCTGTGATGTCAGCATGGGGTGACAGGGAGAGAAGAGGATCATTGGAGCTCATAGCCTGCCACACTGAATGAAAATCCGCAAGCCTCCAGTTCAGTGAGAGACCCTGTCTCAAAAGAATAATGTGGGACACCATA